TTTAATTTCCATAATCAATGATATATATTTTGAAGAATATATTTAATTTGACACCTTCGAGGAACGTGTATCTTGGGTTTGCACTTTGCAGGAAGGCGGCAATAAGCTAACCATACACTTGTTTGGAGAAGAATAATAGGATATTAATTCCTTGAAGCAATTCAATTCGATGATCCCAACCAAACACTCGTAATAAACCCTAGTTTTGGGGACCCCACTTGCTATTGTTCGGTTCCCCTAAACAAACAAAATGCAGTAATTGAGAGCTGTACAAGTTTGAAAAATAGGTTTTATCACACGAGTAATGCTACAGGTTTTATAGATCCTTTCCTTTATGTGCAGGCAATGCTTCCTAATTACTACTGTACATGTTTTGAGTATATATATATATAAAAGACATCAAGCACTTTGTAATTGTGCAGCTCAAGGATATTTATTTACTTTGACGGTGTGTCCAAAATCCAAATGAACAAAGGTGATATATGTGTCATTGCTTAGCAACCACTCTGTATAAATAATACCAAATTTTAACCGTAATATATCTTTTAGAACCCCACATTGACGTTGTAAATACTATGTATCAGCATTTAATGATTGACATGTGGTCACATATAGTAATAATAGTGCATGTGAACTAGTTCGAATTGTCATAAACTAACACTAACAATTGTTTCTAGGGTACAAGTATTCAAACTTTATGCATGAGTCATTGCCTGATGGTGTATCTAATAAGAATAATATTTGTCTACTTATGAGTGAAATATTAAACTGACAAGTATTTATGCATTTAAAATATTAAAAAATAAATAACTTGATAACTATTATTAAAACCCTCCAAATCAAATCTTAATTCTCTCTCTTCTCCCTTTTTCTCACGCTTTCTAATCTCATCCCCCTCCCCCTCCCCCTCATATTTTTAGAGAGGGAAAACTCCTCTCAAGCATATGATGATGCGCTGTGCCTATGCTGAAGCTAAAGTCACTCCTTCCTTCTTTCTATCCTTTCACAACTTCTAGAATGCACTCTTTTCTGAAAGCAAATCTCTATTTTACCATAAAAGGACACTTTGCAAGACAAGACCAATCAATATGCTTAGTGGAATGGAGATTTACAGGCTTTTGTTAGAACCCTTTCGCCATAGAAGAGCCCTTAACACTATAGGTGCATTAAAATTCATACTTATAGGCAGACCTTACAAACCAAATCCCGTGTCGAGCTAGTACCTGGGCAGAGCTAGCTCATTCTTTTACGCTTGCTTGGTGGATTCCACCCTGTAGCTAGGGGGAATTTTGAGAGAAGCATTTTTTAACGCATCATTGATTGGGATTCATTTGGGTTTAATTCGAATAACTATCAAATTATTTATTTTTTATTATTTTAAATGCAATGACACGTGTCAATTTAATATTGCGTCACATACGTGGTAATTATAAGCTTCCAATGGACAAATATTATCCATCTAATAATTCTTACCGACAAATAAAAAGTTTCATTAACAGAAAGCATCAGGAATTAAACGATCGAAAAATAATTTTTAGAAAATCACACTTTCTTTTTAACTCCATCAGTTTTCCTATCAATCTTCAAAACCGATTGTCAAACTAATTTTAATTTTGATTGTTTTGTAATTTTTAGATTTGTACACTCATGCAACACCAAAATATATACATATATAGTTTGATGTGACACAAACTTGGATAATAAATAACCACTTTTCTCCCATTGAAAAGGCAATCCATCACATATTAATGAGCAAATAGTGTTTTTTTTTTTTTGGTAAATAATTTTTTGGGGGGTAAGCAATTACTCATTTTAGCTTATCTATGACAATATGTAATAGACCAATGCACGCACAACACTGTTGAGTTGTGTGACTTGATTTTGGTCGCAATCCTGTTTAGAGTCTTTGGACCCGATTGATATATCATTTTAGCCCATTTTTATTTTGGGCAGGTTTCAACTAAATTTCTAGTCTATATAACCTAACATGTACGAAGGTATTAGGATTTCTATTATTTTGATTGAATAGTGAAACTTGTGCATTTCATTTTTTATTTTCACATACTAAAATCTCTTTTTTGATTATCATTCGTGAAGTCCAAAACACCTTAAGTATGTGTTCAGTGTGGTGTGTGATAACTAATATATATCGTCTATGTTATTTCTTAATTATTTTTGTACTTTGCCACGATTTGTCATAGCATTACCTTTTCTAAATATCTTACTCACCTTAGCAGGACATGCAAAATTTCTACTATATGGTTCATAGAGTCCGTTTGGTGTTGTTGTTGTAATGGCAAAAGCATTGTTATCATAGAGTTGTTATAAAAGTATTGTCAATAAAAAGCATGTTAGGTGTTTTATAATGCATTATGTAAAGTGTTTTTTTTTTTTTTTTTTATATAAAGTACTTTAAAATTTGTTTAGTAACAATATTGTTTAAAACACTTTTAAATTTAAAGCGTTACAAACGTAATCTCAAACGAGTTCGTGACACCACGAACCGTGTTGAGAGTAACCTAACAGAATCAATTATTTTAATTGTTAAATTTTACTTTCTTTATCTCAAAATAGTTCAAAACTTTAAGAACTGTCCCAAATTGACCAACTATTTTGGGATAGAGGACTCTCAATTTTGTATATTATTAAATGTTCACCGAGTCGAATGAATTCCTGAAAGAAAGTGTCCACCAAATTCCTATATGATTTATGTTTTAAGAAGAAGAAAAAAATACTCATTATTTTCCCTCGCTATATAATTTATCCAGCTGATCAGTTGCAGTTTAAGAAACAAAAAGTCAACTCTGTCCTGACCATATATATATATATATATATTAAGAATTCAAACTCTACAGAAGTTTCTGATATAGGCATTAAACACCCAGAGAAGTGAACAGGCATTAATCACCCAGAGAAGTCAACCCCTGTCTCTCTCTCCGTGGATCGATCAGAGAATGAATTGAAAATCATTGTTGCACTCTGAAATGCATGAATCATGATCTTCTAAAATCAAATGTGTTTTGTGTTTGTTAACTACTACCAACCCATGTGTCCTCATAAACATATTTATTGCAGTATATGTTAATTAACCTCCATATATATATATATAATTTGAATACCAATGCAATGTTATACCGACAATTGACAAATATAAGGATCTAAAAAACACAGAAATTTACCAGTTATTGGACCAATCACTTTCGTTTTGATGAGGGTGGGATAAAATGTTGACTTTGGATAGTCATAAAAGCAAAATAAATATGAGGTGTTGGGGGTATGGTATGTACATGTGACAGGCCAATGCATGCAGTTTATGGTGTGGCTTTGCATGGCCTCCACCATGGGCTAGTATGGTCTCTATCTGGTTCATTAGTCAACCAAGAGAGAGAGACACAAATTAATGTACACAACTCATCATCATCAACAACTATAACTTATAACAGAGACACAGTCTGTGAGGTGTGTCTGAGTCTCTAATTGTACGTGGTTTGTGCTACTGAATATGGCCTAAAAAAACATATATAAAATGTGTAAAAGTGGTTAGGAGTTAGCGATGTTTTGCCTTCTGTTTCAATTCAAAATCACGAGTTGCTTTGAATATATATATATATAAGTCCAACAACTAGCTGACTGTTGTAAATGCTCAAGTATGTGTTTCAAGTTGGAACATATGGGCAGCTCCCCTGAAATTTTAAATTCGTTTGTTTCCAAATTTGAAAACTTCCTGTTATAAAATTTCATTTTATTCACGCACACGAATAAATAAATAAATAAACTGGTCGTATTAAAACCAAAGAATACGAAAATTCTTCTTGAACCGATGAGCTAAGCCAATCTCACACAGACAGGCCCACCACACGTACGTGTCCATGTCAGTCGGTTAAACGATACAATAAATAGTCGGTCATTTTGCAGATACGACTTACTAGTGATTTGCATGTTACTCAAATTTTGGAACAAATGTAATTAATATTTTATTTTACTAATATAATCGATGATACATGTGCTAAATAAGTAATAGGGATATACTTTATAGTCATATGTAGGTAATAGGTATATACTTCATAATACTATTAGTAACATAGAATGACTGTGTTGTCCTCTTATAAAATGCTTCTTTGTTCACATAATTTGATTTCAAGCTTGTGGAGACCGTGTCAAAGATAGAGATTTATGCTCAAAAAAATGAGGGAGGGACAAAATTTAAAAAATTCCATTGTTTGGTAAGAGAGAAAATTGAAGAGAATTATGATTGGAGGAGGGGGGAGAATGATATCTAGTGTTATGTATAATATGATGTGAGATTATTGCCCTTGACTAACTTTGGTCAAATTATATAATGAGGCTGAAATAGTAATCTCTCCATCCCATCTTCCTATAAAATAAAAAAAAGAAGGTTCCCTTTATTCATTTCTATATCCCTTCCACTCAACCAAACAAAAAACAGGGACACTTACCATTTTCCAGAGTACCTAGTCCTTTGTACCATCCCTACAACGCACTTTTTCACCCTCTTACCAGACAGCATAAAATGCTATGAAGATCGAGAGTACCATATTCCATATTCTGCTTTCTTCAAGACAACCACATCATAAAAATAGATAAATAACTGCACCACCAACCTTCAACACCAAAATGGCTAATAACTAAACAAAATACCACATAGAATTATTTCTTGTTAAGATGAATCAAAATCTTCGGTAGACAACTTCTTTTTTCTTTTTTTTTTTAAAACACCACATTCAATTTTTAATTTCATTGCTTTAAATGGTGAATTTCAACACCATAATAGTGAAAATTCACCAATTTTTACTACCAATAAAAGTGGTGAAATTCACTTTTTAACGCGGTGAAGTTCAATAGTACAAAGCCACGGTTGTTTTGATAAATGAGTAACATCACATTTTTGTGCACTGGATTTGCCCCACCGTATACCCCAACCTGGAGAGGAAGTAGGTTCAACAGAAACAAATCAAAAACCTCACAGAAATAGCTGCAAATTGTTAAAATTGCATTTTTTATTTAAATTAGCAAAAATGAAATAGGAATCAACGGCCAAACATCCAAAATGGAACTACCAACCCGCTACATGAAAGCCAACCATCATAATGAAACCATGCATTCCATCGTATAATACTATTTTCTATTACAATTTAAACTAAAACCTCCAAAATAGCCTAATCATTGGACTCCCAGTTACAACAAAAAACACCTTGGTGGACGACACAGCCAACCACGCATCACCTGAAAAAATTAAAGGAATTGAGCAAGAAAACCAGCAATCAACAGTTCATGCTTGCTTACCTGAAGAAGAAGAAAAAAATACAGTTCATGCTTGATTGGAATTACAAGGTCAATCTTTATTGCGGAAGCAAAACAACTCTTCTAGATCAAAACCAAAGGAAGATACAACTTGCTTGAGGTTTCTTCTATTTTCTATTTTCTTTGATTACAGTAGAATAAATAAACTAATAACAAAGATTTGATGTAAGTCGAGTATCCATCAGGCTTGGTTCTCAATAATGAACTTTAGTATCCTCTCCTTCATTTTATTCGTATGCAAGAGGAACCAATAGACTGCTGAAGACAACAAGGCATTGCAACAAATAACCTGAATCCACGAACAAATGCATACATGTATACACATAAAAGGGAGCAATATGTTTGCTTTTTCAAAACCAATTCAATCAAAACACACCGGACTTCGAATCTGATACAAGATGAAAATAAATTTATAATTATTGCAACCAGGTATATATCTTAAATTAGACGTGACTAGGAATGAAAATTACGCACTTTGGGTAGACCTATGTCAAACTACCCCAATCTTTTTCCTTTTTTCTGGTAAACTTGACAAATAAATCTCATAATACCCTTGGGGAGACTTGAACCCTCCACCATCCCTTTTGAAAACAGGGGAGATGCCACTAAATCATGTCTTGGTAGTCAACTCGAAACCTAGCAAGGGTTTGGGGTTTAGAAAACTCAATTTCATAAATGTTAAACCTACAATGAGCCAACAAGTTGAACATGGATATCCTTATTCAACAAATTTCAAACCAAGAAATCTCTACATTTACTCTATCCAACTGATTTTCAACCTGCATGTTAAAATAACCAGATTCCTATCCGATTTTAGCAGATTGGTGGGTTTGTATAACATTTTCCATCCCTAAAATTTGGTTACTTTTTTGGTTCATCAGTACAAAGTTTGCCAGAAATTACCATCTGTCTCGCTGTTCTTTTTATTTTGGTTAGTCTACAAATTGCCTTTATGCATATTCTTTAGGCTATGTAACCTTTTTTTTTTTTCGGGTGGGGCGGGAGGGGGGCCCTTTGAGTCTTTGACTTGTTCTCTCTTGAATAAAATAAAAGAGAAAAGAAAATGACTTGGAAGATAGTATTTAGTTCTACAAAGAAGTGAAAGCATAATAATACAGCATAATGATACAACTAAAAGGGAAAAAATTCATATGATTGGGTGTATCATCTTGAAGAAGCACGGTAGGTAATATAAATGATGACGTTACCTTAGTGATAAGGGTAGTTCAGATGTTAACTCATCGATTGAGTATTCTATCCCATTGTATTCCTCTTTTCTTCTTCTAGACAACAATCCAGCTTCTCAAATCACCTTCCATGATTGCATTTTTCATTTTTATAATGGCATTATCAAAGTATTTGGAAAACATAGTAGGTGTTGGTTAAGGTGGCATTGGTGACAGCGGAGGTGGCAATCGCACTTGGCAACAGTGGGGTCATTTCATTGTGTGTATGCAATGGAGTGCCATGCACAGGATTATCTTTCTGGTCGTAGCATAAATTAGCAAACTATAATAGCAAGAGCCAAGAGACTTGAGGGTGGGAGTGTTGGTTATACAAGAGCATCAAGGGCGTAGGAGTAGGGTGTGATTACACGAGCAACAATTGTGTCTAAAGGAATATATTACATTGGCGTATAAGCGGGGTGTTTATTACACAAGAGTATCAATTGTGTCTTGTGGAATACATTACATTCTTAACATCTTATTAAGATCATCTACTTTTTTCTAACGAAATATAATATAGTCTCATTATATACCATATAGATAAAATAAAAAAGAATCATTATGAATTAAAAGCTAAGTTTTGGAATGACAAACTTGCAGCGCAGAATACGACCAAATTCAGCTCCAAATAGATTTAGCACAGAACTCCTTTTGGTTCTTTGATGACTCAATAGAATGCAATCTAAAACCAATAAGAATGCATCAAAAGCACCAGACAGCAAGAAGTGAATACCTCAGGCAATATGCTCCGCGAGACTGAGAATCTTAATATGCCCCTTTTTCCTTAGCTCATGTGGGACTGGCCCAAATACTCTGGTTCCAATCGGTTCACCTTGTTTGTTGACAAGGACCACAGCATTGTCATCAAACTTGACCTCACTCCCATCACAACGGCCTCGCGGCATGGCAGCACGTACTACAACACCGTACACGACTTTTCCTTTCTTAACTTTGCCACCTGGATGTGCTTCTTTCACTGATGCAACGATTGTGTCCCCCAATCTTGCCCCTTTCTTGCCTTTCAAAGCTTGTATGCACATAACTCGTTTTGCCCCCGAGTTGTCCACCACCTTAAGATTGGTTCTCATTTGTATGAAAGTCCTATGTTGCTGTATGAATACAAAAGAAATCAGAATTCAAGTATGGACTTTCGTTAAAGAAACGGCATGCCACTAAACCTAATCAAAGATTATGTGCATTGCTTCACATCACAGTACCTAGATTGCTTTGTTTTAGGGAAAAACAAGACATACTTTAATAAGTGATCTATAAATTCTTCAGTGGAAGAATGACCATTCCAAAATGACTTATTGCGACCTGCACTAGCATTCTTTAATTTCAACTTGAAAATGCAATTTATATCAGTAACCAAAATCTTACTTGCTCTAAGGACTAGGAAAAAAAAAAAAACACAAAACAAAACAAAACAAAAAAACACTTAATTTTTTTAAAATTATTTTCAAACAGACCCTATACTAAAGGAACCCTGATAACTGACAAACTTATGTGACTTTTTCGAGAAAAACAAAACGCAAAATAAACACTTAATAACAAAATTTATCCTGACAATAAAATGAAATATTGCAAACGGGTCATAGGTGTGTTATAGGCTCTAAATAACCAAATTTATCCTGCCAATAAAATGAAATATTGCAAAAAGGTCATGGGTATGTTATAGGCTCACCATTATTACTTGACCAGCAATTAGACGTTGGACTTAAGATGGAATGAAAAAAGGAGCATACGCTGAGTAAGGAGATGTACTCCTGCTCAGTCATGGGTCCATCTTAGGTCCAATAACACCCAGGGCAGATCCAGTGTTGGCCCTTGACAGCTCTTGAAAGGAGAATATTCTGGCCGTCAAAAATTTAATTCACTTTTTTCAGTGATTTTCTGCAGGGTTTTATCCAAGATACAATTTGACAAATATACTAACAGTAATTCGACCTATTAATATATAATCAACAACTAGAATCAACATCGGAAAAACTTCAACATTTTCAGCCTGCAAAAATCCATTCCTCAGCTTATACGCGTGTCTTCTCCTTTTAGACAAGACAGTTTATATATGAGATCTTAATTCCCATTTTTCTCAAGGTTGTCAGGATAGGGATTCTAAATAGGATCGATGGATGGTCTATAGGATCGGGATCGTAGAATCGGATCGAAGATCGTAAGATTCTATAAAACTAGTAGAAAAATAACTCAAACTAAATTTCTAAATAAAACTATTTTCATATAAATAGAGAATAAAGCTAACACTACTCACATTCTGGCAAAAATCAATTAACATTAAAAGATAGTAAAAAAGTAAGACACGCGACAAACACTTACACCAATCTCTTGATTTTCTCAATGAAAAACGTCAACATATTAGTCACACAAAATTTCACAGAAGCAATTAAGAATTTTTTATTTGTCCATCTGTACTATTTATGCAGAATCATGGAAAATCACTTTCTAATAATTTAATACAACTTTACTCTCAATTCCAAAACAACAAAATTAATCTATAACAATTAAAAAGAATATAAGTTAAAGGATGCATCCTCAACTTAAAAAATATATATATTTTAACATTACAAGATTGGTATGCACGTGCTTTGATATGAGCTGCTGAGGCCCAAATCCTTATTTTTCCAAGAGTTGGTCCTCAATGATGAATTTTAAAAAATAATAATAATAAAACACAGAAATACACTAACCTGAGACAAAAAATCACTGCATGTTATCTCATGCGATGTTCTCAGCGAACCAGAAGAATTGTTAGTGAGTCCACCCAACAATGAACGGGCCCCTAATATTTTTTTCCCGCACACAGTGATAAAACAGCATTAGTATTTAAGAGAATAAAAAAAGAAAAGAAAAAAGGAAAGAGGAACACAAACAAATCAAAGAGAGATAGACTGATAGAGAGAATAAGTAGAAGAGAATCACTGCAGCAAAACATGTACAAACTATATTCTATTCAGTTTTTCTCTAATAAAAACATCATGCAAAGCACAATTTTGAATTTTTCAAACATGCCCGACCCTTTGGGGCCTTTCTTTCGAAACCATCTCTTTGATCAGATGGGTTACTCTTCTATAAATATAACATAGTGTAAACCCACATAACACTAGACAGTGCATCCAAATCATAGGAAGATGGCATGTTTTTGCATTCGTCGATCTACATCAGCTATTAAGAAAGGAGTCAGCATTGAGTGTGGAAGCAAGCACACCTCCACATAATGTGAATCAACTTTTGTTCACCAAATTAGAGTTCAGAGAAGGAACCATGAGTAAGAATGTGATTACCTACACTGGAGCTGCCTACTTAAAAGCTTCCTTTTTTTTTTTACACAACTATTTAAGGTCGAGTAGATAAATCATATTTTTCCATTTCACTCTATCTACGGCCATAACCTCTGTCAAACTATATACTATGATATCATTAATTACTATCTCCACCTATATTAATTTTGCCTTTTATTAACAGTACCTTTTGTTAGGTCAATAGGACGTGTGTTAACAAATTTTGCTCAAAACTCAAAGCATGTATGTCTCTATATGTTTAGTTTAGCTTTTGATTAAATTTTTCAAAAGTAAGACTACTTATGTTACCTCAGTCTAAGGGCAGAATCAGAAGTTAAAGCTACATTCAAGGAAAAAAAAGTAATTACACTCAACTATGCACTCGCCAATTAAAGTTCATGTTCATATGCATTCATTGAAGATAGGGTTTCTTAAATTTTATGTTGACATGTTTCGATGAATTAAAATCCTTTTTGGGATGAATAGAAGTGACTTTGGAATGTTCCTTATTCTAAATCTTGCTTCTATAAGGACAGGGCGGTTCAATCAGTGATGGATCAATCGAATGCCACTAGCCACGTCTCATCAATCGACACTTATCTTGATCAATCAAGACTTAGGAAATCTAAATTCCAAATAAAACATAATCTCTCTTAAAACTAATCTCCTATGGGTGTCTAATATATCTTTAGAAAATAAATGCAAGCTTATTCATTTTTTTTATATAAGTAATAATAACATAAAAAGGTGTTCAAAAGGGAAACGTGTCCCTTATACAGAAGTGGAACTGGGGGCTAAGGCCCCAAAGAATCCAAAAAAATAATTAACTCATCTGAAGAGGAACAAGAGCTCCTCTTCACATAATTGAAAAGAGAACGAAGAATGTGAAATTTCACCATTGTTGTAAACGACTCTTTCCCTTTGAACATTCTACTATTTCTCTCTTTCCAAATGCACCATCATACACAATGTGGGACAATTCTCCAGAAATAGCGTACATCCCTTCTCACACGACATCCTCTCCAAACATGAATCAATTCCTTAGTAGATCGTGGCATTACCCAACACATGCCAAACAACCTAATAATAAGATTCCAACAGTCGTTTGCCACAGGACAATGCATAAGGAGGTGATCAACTGACTCCCCATCTTTCTTGCATAGACAACACCAATTAACAATACAATTGCCCCTTTTCCTCAAGTTATCAATTGTCAGAATCTTTCCCCAAACAGTAGTCCAAACAAAGAAAGCCACCCTAGTTGGAGCCATGGATCGCCAAATAGTCTTCCACGCGAAGTCACGATTATCAAAATTAGACAGACAAAAGAACAAGGATCTTACTTCGAAACGACGGTGGGAAGAAGGAACTCAAATCAAATAGTCAATATCTCTGCCAACACCCTCCTGCCGATACAAAAGATCCAGAAAAACGCATACCTCATCCAACTCCCAATCCTGAAAAGAGCACCAAAAGTGTACATCCCACGTAATCCCACTGCTATCAAGCCGATAACAGTCAGCTACATAAGCGTGTTTATCAACTGCAATACTGAATAATCTAGGAAATGTACGAGATAGTAGTTGATCACCACACCAAAGATCTTCCCAAAAACGAACGCGACGTCTATCACGGACTTTGAATCTGATATGAGCAGAAAAGACATCCTATCCCTTCCGAATAGACTTCCACATCCCTACTCCTCCCACAAGGGAAACTGGACGTGTAAACCAGCCTCTAGCCTCTAGCCTCTTCCCCAAATCGACAAGAGACTAACATGCACCAAGGACAATGTCTTTCCCTCCCATATCGCCATAACCATTTACCCAGGAGAGCTTGATTGAAAGGAACTAATCATCTTATGCCAAGACCACCTCCCTCCCATATCTCCATAACCATTTACCCAGGAGAGCTTGATTGAAAGGAACTAATCGTCTTATGCCAAGACCACCCAATTTCATAGACTTGCAAACTTGCTCCCATCTGACAATGTGATACTTGAACTCATCACCCCTTCCTCCCCATAAGAAATCAATCCCTTTGAATTTTTTCAATCCTATCCGCAACAGAGCAAGGGATTTGGAACATAGAAAGAAAACAAGTGGGGAGGCTCGATAACGTACTCTTAATAAGAGTAACTTTGCCCCCCTTGGACAAGTATTGCTTCTTCCATCTTGCCAATTTTTTCGCAAACCTATCAATCACTGAATCCCAATTCCCCACTATCCTTGAAAAGACCCCTAGGGGCAAACCCAAATAAGGAATAGGGAAAGAACTCACCCTGCATCCAAGAACTACAGCTAAAGAGGAAATATCCTGAACATTCCCTACTAGGACAAGCACACTCTTAGCCACATTGACCTTTAGCCCGGAAACCGCCTGAAAACAAGCCAGGATACACCTCAAATATCAGAGTTAAGACACATCAGCATCAAAGAAAACCAGGGTATCGTCTGCAAAAAGTAAATGAGAGATCTCCATCTGATGGACTGAATCTCTACCCACCTTGAATCCCTTAATAAAACCAAGGTCATCTGCCCTGCTCATAAGTCTGCTTAAATCCTTCATAACAACAAGAACAAGGAAAGATGACAAAAGATCACCTTGTCTTATACCCCGAGTGCAACCAAAGAAACCAGCGGGAGAACCATTCACAAGAATTGAAAACTTAACGGACGAGAGACAAGTCTCAATCCATTTCCTCCATTTACTTCCAAACGCCATTCTTTATAACAAATAGAGTAGGAAATTCTAGTTCACGTGATCGTACGCTTTCTCAATATCAAGTTTGCATAATACTCCAGAAACACCACTACGCAATCAGGAATCCACACATTCGCTAGCAATAAGAACTGAATCAAGAATTTGCTGTCCTCCAACAAAAGCGTTCTGGGAGTCCGAGATAATCCCATCCATTACTTCCCTCATCCTTAGAGCAAGCACCTTAGCAATAAGTTTATAAATACAGCCCACCAAACTAATTGGACGGAAATTCTTTATGTCAGAAGCGCCTCCCTTATTGGGGATAAGGGCAATAAATGAAGCATTAAGCAACTTCTCAAAGACGCCAGTAGAATGAAACTCCTGAAAAGTACCCATTACCTCATTCCTTACTGCAGCCCAACTTTCCATCAGAAAACGCATAGTAAAACCGTCAGGCCCCGGAGCTTTGTCCCTATTACAACTTGATAAAGCCTTTAGAACTTCTTCTTCAGTAAAAGGATTCTCAATCCTATCTCTACCCAGCTCAGAAATAGCCTCAAAATGGAAATCATCAAGTTTAGGCCTCCAAACTAATGGCTCGGTATAAAGCTTCTGATAAACAGAAGCAATCCCATTACGCACCTCTTCCTTCCTCCACAACTCCACACCTTCCTCCCGAATTCTTCCTATATGATTACTCCTCCTATGAGCATTAGCTAATCTGTGGAAGAATTTTGTGTTCCGATCTCCTTCTTTTAGCCAGAGAGCCCGGGATTTTTGTCACCACGAAATCTCCTCCATTCTAGCAATCTCAGCAAGAACAGCCTGACAGGAAGCTCTCCTAGAACGTAGAGACTCCACATCCCCACCGGCTCCTCAAGATGATCAATCTCAGAAAAATCAGCAAGGACTTTTTCTTCCTCCATTCCAAATTCCCAAAAACATCCTTGTTCCACTGCTTAAGAACAAATTTGAGAGCTCTTAACTTCTTTGTTATCGTGAAACTGGGCGAATCTGAAACAATAACTCCCTTCCACCAAGATCTGACTTTCCCTTCGAAATCCTCCGCTCGTAGCCACAAATTCTCAAATCTAAACGGGGATTTCGAGAACACAAACCCCCACAATCCAAGACCAAAGGAACATGATCAGAAGTGACCCTTGCTAACACCGTCTGAACGACATCCGGGAATCTCTTTTCCCACTCCCCAAAAATTAAAAATATGTCCGGTCTTGAAAGAGTGATTGGATCCCTACCATTCGACCAAGTATAAGCTGCACCTTCCATTGGCAAGTCAACAAAAAAATGCTCATCAATAAAATCAGAAAATTAATCCATTTCCAAGGACCTTCTTCCCCCTGTAGACCTCTCTGACAGGGACCTGACAGAATTGAAATCACCTCCCAAGCACCAAGGGGGAGACCACAATCCTTGGACATGGCTAAGCTCCTCCCAGAAAATAGGTCGCTCATCATCAACGACCTTATTCATACCAAAAGCATATAGGTTTTAAGCATATTGAGTGCATTCTAACAAGTTCCTATTGCTAGAATTTGTTTCTTTTCCGTTGCATCTTGATGGTGAGTGTATGTAAGTGTTGATAATCTGAGATTTTATGTGCTAACAGAAAAATCAACACAGAAGTTTCGTTACAAATCAAACACAAGCTTGGACAACTAGTAAAGATTGCGGGTCTAGATTTAGTTTCTTTTTCATATATCATCATTATACAGTGGGACGGGAGGATTGCATGTGCCCGATGATAGATTATGGAGTGCTCTAACAGGCCGACACCACCATTGTCAACCAAACAACATAAATAAATATTCTCACTCTTATTTCATCATTCATATATTTTTTTTTTATTTATGAATAATCAACTTCGTGTAATAATATTTGTATTTTGTACCTCTAGACCCACAATATGCACTACATTCCCACCTAAATTTCTAGTTTCGTTAAAGCTACATTTTTTTTTTTTTTTTTTGTTAAAGCTACATTCAATATATTCATTTCTAGTCTTACTTATCTTGAAACCTCTTTGATCTCCCGACCTCTAATTTCATCAATAAAAATTACACAATCAACAAATAACATAAGCCGCATAACCTTAGTGTATAATAGGGAACATCACTTCTAAGATTAATTTTCACATCACCACATCTGAGGATGGAGCCAAAAGCCAGGTATGAACCTAGCTTTTTAACTTAGCCAACAGCACAGTCAGTTGCTTAACTTAGCCATTATATACCCTGCATACACTGTTGTATTTTATTTACACTGGTGGACCTTGCAGTGCAACATCCTAAAAACGCGCTTAACATTCTCTCTGGCGATGAATGAACATGTCTTTTCTCCAATGGAGATACGTCTAACCTGCTTTGTTAATTTCCTATAGCACCATGTTTCTCTGCTATGTATGTTTAATGTGCTTTGTTAAAACATCCCATTGAACCACGTTATTCTGCCTACATTAATTGTCTCTAGAAGAATTCCTCAATCCATTTAACTCCTACTAAAATGTCCTTGTTGTCAATGCAGCAGCTATAGAAAAAAAAAAAAAAAAGGCTGATATTGTCCTTGATCATCTAGTAATAAGTTTGACCCAACATACCACATAAGTCTATGCGAACTCTGGCATGCCCAAACACTGCTTTTTTGCGGATTAAACAAAAATAAAATGTACTATCAATATACTTATTTAAAAATAACTACGACATGATTCAACCAAAAACTTCACTATAGCACATCCAAGGTTGTATCCTGTACAAAATTCCCACTTAGCCCTTTTTACATGTAAGCTTGTTTTTCCATCAAAACAAAGCTATACAAACTAAGGTTATCAAAGGCTACTTGAGCTAAATTATGTTAACATATACTAAATTCAACAATATCAGGACTGAAAAGCTAGATCCAAACTCAAATAAGTTACACCCACCAAAGAGTATATAGTATATAGGAATCAATTATCCTAGAATTTTCACACTTTAATAGAAGGAAACAAAAGCAATACTAATTCCATTTTCAACCCCAGAAGTGAATCTGTATTTAAAATATGTTGACAATATTTCCTGTTTCTTCTAACCTGACGTGCATTACAGATTAGGTAGTCCACGAGAAAAAAGAAAAGAAACAAGAAATATTGTTTTGTGCTTCCATGAAATTAAATGTTTATTCAATATAGTAGTAAATATTGATTCCACAAAAAAATAAAATAAAATAAAATGGAAGAAAAAGAAAAACAACACATGAGAATGTGTTCGACATCCTGAAACTATGTTATATGGACCCATGTTTAAGGAGTTCATATTTGTCTAAACATCAAATTTTATTAAATCCCAAAATGGAAGGAATAGGTAATACAACTAAATATTCATATTTGTTACTATTCTTCTTTTATTTTCTAAAATGAAACGATGTTTTCAAGTAAAAGTGTTCAAAATGGACACTTCATTACTTTAAACAAAGGAAAACATCATAAGAAAGCTTTATGTACAACAAAGAAACATCTACGTATATATAACTAACTTCAAATCCTAAATACAATTGCAAGCTGTATGCTCCACTAGATATATCATACACATATCCCATACTCATGTATAAATGTGGTGTGTCTATACTTCATCATTTAAAGAAGTCTAATGACATTGCCATGGAATTTGGGACTTGGAACTGAAATTGGAAGCCCAAATAAAATCAGTCATTTTGTTCCCTAAAACACAATTGCAAATGATATTCTACTAGAATTCTAAGGAGCACAATTTCAAGCAACCAGTTCCATATGAGAGGTTAAGATTTCTTAATACAGATATAAGAACACTGAAACTGCACACCAAATTGTCCGAAGGTGAACCATATGAAAGCTTAATTGCAGGAAAATACTAAAAGACAACAAAATAAAGTTCAATTACAAGAATCCCAAAGAGATTGACAATAAACAATAATAGTTTACATAACACTCCTTATATTACTTTAAACTGCAACCAATTACTGCTTAAAAAACTATAGAATCACATACCACGGAACCATTTAGAAGCAGAATATGCAGCCATCCTCACAATATATTGTGCCAGCAAAAGTAACAAAATTTCCAAATCTTTCCTGTCATTGTGAAATAAATATATTAATAAATACAAAATCATTTTCCATTTTTTATCATCCAAAAAGGAGAACAGTTCAATGTAAATATACTGAACCAAGAAATCAATTCTCTTTTATGAATCAAATATAATCATTACTCACATGCCTTTAAACTGGGTGGAATCAATATTCAACATTACTTCAACCATTAAAACAAGACAGCAAGATGGTTGTCCAATTATCCATTCAATTGTTTACGTAACAAAACAGACTTACTAAACCATTTCAACAGTTGAATGCATTTCTCTCTCACATAATTCAGTGCTCTATTCCTTCAGGATAATTACCATACTAAAAGACACAGACAAATAAGGCACAACCCCACCATATCCCAATCACAACGAGAAGACTAACCAAATTCAAGTGGTCATGGATTTCAGAAAAACTGACTTATATTAATCAGATGTGTAGAAAATAAGGTGTGCAGCTATAAACTCTAAAGTTGGTTCTTTTTATTTTCAGTTTTTTTATAAAAAGAAAAATTATTTAAGTTTTTTAACCAAGTCATATTAATTATTAGTAGCCTAACAAATAAATAAATAATTCTTACAAGAATAATATATCATATCAAAGTCACATTCAACACTTCTAGTAACCCTTGCACAGAAACTAACAGATTGTGGAAGGGGAGATTGTTAATAACCTAACAGGTTGTGGAAGGGAAGATTGTGCTCTTAGTATAAATTCAAATGAGGAACTTTCCATAACATCACAAAAGTAAATTACACCTCAATCGAGGCCATTAACATATCTTGAAAGTAAATTCACAGGTCTGCTACTCCTCATCAATCTAACGAGAAATAATATTCAAAAGGCTGAAATTTTTTGGGGGTTACTCATTTTCCACAAGATATGGCACTAAAAAATCCCAAATTTCTCAAATAAAGAACTAAAACCAATACCTAATTACCTAACCTAATCTTACACCTGCATCTTGACAAAAACCCGAACCTCTGCTGGTAAAGATAAGGGAAAGCATATATATTCTGTAGTGGCATAGAAAAATAATGAGAATAAGTGTAGAAGAAGATAAATGTGTTACAAATTAACAGATCAATCAAAATGACAGTACAATAAGCGCAGAAAAAAAATGCTTGTTAAAGCTACTGCGAGCGAGTGTACCTTCGCTAAAATGGAAGTGAGAGAAGAACCGGATTGTTTCTGCGGTTGTGGATTATCTCGTCGGCGCTAGAGAGAGAAAGCAAGTCGAAAGAGAGGGAGTGAGCGAAATCGGTAGAGGGGGAAATTGGGTTGTGGCATCCGCAATGATCGGGTGAAGACTCGGGTATGGAAGTTTACGGGTTTGAATGGTGACCCGATTTAAAATTCATTTTAGTTCAGATTATAATTTTCATTTTATTTTATTTTATTTTATTGATAAAAATAACCGCACACTCCCACAAATACTCGCGACGGTTAAGAACTTAAGAACAACTATAAATATATGCGGATACAATCTTTCAACACAATTCCAACCAATCAAAAAATTATAAATATGATAGTTTATTTCGAAAACAATATGATTGGATCAAGTTAAAATTCTTTAAAAAAAAAAATTGAAATATTATCCAAATTAGTGAAAGACTATCCAAATTAGTGAGAAAAGTAATTGATTTGTGCGCGAGTTGGCTAACAATTTGACTTGTGCGTGAGTTATAGCCTCTCTTTAGTGGTAGTACTTTTTTTGTTGATGGATAAAAGGATGAGTAATATATATGGAATTGATTAGAGATGTCAACTTGATTTGCTCTAAGTTGGAGTCGGGTCCGAGAATGAAAGTTGTAATTATGGCAATAAATAAGTCGAGCCAAACCAAGTTGTAGGGGTTCGTGTTCGGCTCGGCCGAGCTTCGACTAGCAAGACTCAAGTTCAGCTCGGCAATTTTTTGATGAGCTCGGGCTCTATGTATATATCATCGTCCCGTTATGTCACCCATCTTCTGATTATCAAATCAATACAAAAAAATCACCACCAGTTTCCTTCGAATTGACATCCAATTTCATCTATTAATCACCCATCTTCTTCGCAAATTTTCGATTCATCAAGAGAATATAGAGAGAGAGGGAGAGAAAAGAATATATAGAGAGAGAGGGAGAAAAAAAACACCAACCTGAATGTCACCAAGGATGCTGCAACGGAGGATTGCCGTAGAAGAGTTGTGGTTGCAGAAGCTTGGTTGCGCCTGCACTTTGGGTTTTCATCTATTCATTTTACGTAACATATTATACATCCAATGACCGACATCAATAGTTAGTTGAGCTAGTGGGCTCTATTTGTCAGTGGGCTTCTAATTACTAATCAACTAATTGGACCAATGAAACAAACATGAATTTGGGCTAGTATATATGGATTAAACTTTTTACTAATGTTATGACTATTTAAACAACCCAGCACAAGAGTTCATGAGTCCAACTTAACATTGCTCAAACTCAACTCGTTTACTAAACGAATCTGGAAAATAAGTTTGAGCTGGGCTTGTTAACTAAATGAACGAGCTCGAGCCGAATTTTTAATGAGTCGACCTCGAGTTGTTCATGAATAACTCGATTCATTTGCAACTTTAGTCTTAAAATATATTTCACACATATACAAAATAATAAATAAATAAATAAAAAGGAAGTATCTTACTGAGTATTATTTATTTTTTTTATTCTTTTCATTTTTAATGATTTTTATATTCGGAACTAGAAAGTTAGCAAATTTTATTATTATTGTTGTTGAATATAATGCTTTATTTTATTTTTTAAAAATACTTTTAATTTGTTTAGAGTGATATTTAGTTGTTTAAAATATATATCTGAGACGCCTGAAGTCAAATATATATATATATATAAAATAAAAATAAAAAATCTCTCTGAGTTTGGAATAAAGAGCCTCCATTCCATAATGCTATCGTTGAGAAAAGTGCATCCAATGTGAGCTTTCCGTCATTCTTAGCAAGCCTTAGGCAATGACCTGCGTCGTCTATGTCCAAAATCGGCCCTTATCTCATTACTAATACTATCAAAAATGAATAATGCTAAGAAATAAATATTTTGAGATGAATAAAAATTTAAATGAATTTAATATATATTTCAATTAATTGGTTAAAATAGCGTGACGAGAGCTTTCTTAAAAGCATTACTTATGAAAATAAGTTTGAAATAAATATCAAATTTGTATGTTTTTAAATTGAAGAAATAGAATTTAGAGATGCAAGAATGCGGGTCCTATCATATAATATCATGTGACATCACGTGATAGACCCCTATCCTCATAATTTTTATTCGAATTTTTCTGAATTTGAAAAATGTACTCCAAACAGATTTTGCACCCTTAACTCACAGTCTCACACTCACCTATGCCTTTATTTACAAATCAAAATGTTGAAATTCAAATACACAATTCACTACAGATACAACGTCACATGTATGTCACAAGATTAAAATCAACACCTGATATTAAACCCCTCTACAGTGAGGGGGAAAAAAAAAAATTAAACCCCTCTACATATTTAACGGAATTAGTCTTTCCAAAAAGGGTAAGAATCCAAATTCATCCCATCCCATCCCATCCCATCCATGACCCCCTGTTGTCAGTTAAAAAAAAAATTGAAAAAAAAAAATGATTAAGAATCCTCAAGAATACTATAATACTAAAATAATAGCGATCAAATTCTATTAAAAAATAAATAAATGTGCATATTTCTTGCCATGGTAATAATTAGAGAAAAAGGAAAAACCTCAAGAATCACAACTCACACTAGACACCAAAGCCTTACAGACCTAGACTAATTTGCGTGAATTTCATATCCGCTCCATGTAATATATTTTGCTTTATTTCTTGTCTCGTGGAGATCACAAGCGTGGCTTCTATATTGGCCTTTGGTCCATCCTGAGGCCTGAACTTGTTCTAGCCGTGTATGTTTTTTTCGGGGCCCCCAGACCGCTCTAGAAGAAGTGTCCCCTTCCCCATAAAATTTCGAAACTGCCATCACTCCATAATGTAGTATGTTATGGTAATGATTCAGTGAAGCAAATCTTGATTGGTCGAGCAATTAAATACAGACCTTTAGATTGAGAAAATGATCTCATAAAAATATATTAATAAATTATAAAATTTGATTATTAGAGAATTTTTATTTAATTAGTTCACCAAGCAAGGACAGATTCAACATTTTTGAATGAGGTGGGCTAATTTTGGATTGGGCTAACTTTGAATTGGACTATCATTACTTCTTTTTTTTTTAATTTTGTTTTTTTTTGGTGGGCTGAAGCTCACTTTCGCCCACCCCTGAATCCGCCTTTGTAACCAAGTATCAAATAAACTAAGACTGTCGAATAATTTTTTCAAATCCTATCAAGCTGGCAAGCACCAAGAAAGTCTAGAAAGATATGTAAGAAGATGATGGTGGGACTAATTATTCCTAATTCTCCCATTTGTTCTCTCTCCTTTTATTTATTTATTTTCCTCATTCCCTCAACTCCCTTAACCCAAAGTTCAAAAAACGCACATAAATTTTTGGGTTAAGTGCATTAAACCCCCTTAATTATAAGTTGATTGTAAAAAACCGTCTGAACAAAGAATAACCTCCTAAACTATAAGTGTGTTGCAATTAAGGACAAACCGGTTAACCTTTGGTTAACTAAAAAAGCAAATTACCTTTAGCCCTTTAATTGAACGACATTGTTTTGAGTTATATCATACTTCAACGGCTGATGTGGCAAATGCAATCTCAATCTCCAATAGAAAATCACCAACACAACATAATCATACCTCCCTTATTGGAATTGCTTGATTATATTGATAGATGGCGGTGCCAAACACACACTCTCTCTCTATCTAAACCTGCGCCAAATAATTCCTACCTTCTACTGGCAACATGAAGCTCTCTGTCTCTCAACCCATTCCATCTCTTTAAATTAGCATCAAATAATTTCCTCCCTTATACAAAAACGGTAAACCCTCTCTCTATCTAAACCAACTCAAAGATAATTTTAGTTGGGTTCATCAGCTACTGTAGAGAAGATGCTTAAAAACAAAAGATCCAGAAAATCAACACACACAAAAATACGAACAGGTGTTGTGTTTGCACTGAAGAACAAATACCCACCTTTTATAACTAGCAAAAAAAAAAAAAAAAAAAAAAAAAAAAATGAATTTTTGGTTTCTTATTTCAAATATTCAATAAAATTATTACTCTGGTTCACTGGGTGTCCTGTGGTTGAGTTGTCCGTGGTTGTTAGGTTTGAAGATTTGGGCAAAAAGGGCTTTATTTGGTGGTGATGATGGGTTGGTGGGGGTCTTGGTTTATCGTTCTTGTGAGTGATGAATTTGCGGATTTGTTTGTTAGGACACTTCATCTTGATTTGAATGTTTTTCATTGATTATGAGGATTGTTTTGGTATTCTATTTTGTGTTCAGATTATGGTAGCCTAAAATTGTTTTCTTTTTAATATGATTAATCGTTCTGCCATTCTCATTTTCCAAAATAGTAAAAAATAAATAAATAAATAAATAAATAAAATAAACAATTGAGAGAAAGATTTGTAGGACAATTTTCAATTAATGAAAGAAAGAACAGATTGGGAAAGATGAACGGAGACAAATTATAGATTATAAATATACCAGGCGATCATTTACTGATACATACATGCATATGGTTAGATTTGTTGCTGAATACAAATTCTCAAATATATAGATACTTGTATATGTATATATATAATAATAATGGGTTTAGGTATAAAAAAAAAATTAGGCTTTAATGGTCATTATACATGACGGCTAATTAACAGTTTGCAATATTTAGAATAATTTAGGGGGTTTAGTGTCTTTTCAAAAATTCAGGGGGTTTTGTGGGAGAGAGAAGAAAGTTGAGGGGGTTTAGTGCAATTAACCCTAATTTTTTTTTGAAAAATTCTAATTAAAGAAGAACTTAAAATCTGTGTAACGATATGCCACGTGTATGGCGATATTTTTTTTCGCCATATTTTTTCCCTGCGAAAAAAGAACAATCGAACTCAACCAACCACACGCTCTCACCCATTCATGGGGACGTTTTGTAGTGTTCCTTGTAGAATTCCACCAGAAGATGAGCGCATGGTTCTAAGGGGGTGAAATGTGAGGAAGAAATCAGAAACAACAGAGTACACTAATGCAGTGAACTCTCTGAAATTATATGTTCTCACAAAACACACACATTTTATTGGATATACATACAAACAGCAAATTAAATTCATGGTGGTTCTAAGCTTCCAGACCGTCCAATTCCGACCTCTCGATCACTGTTCCTTATGCAGACGACAGGCCGGTAGCCGTGTGGTCCGGTGTGGAATTGCCGAGCCATCGGGAAATCCGGCGCCCTTTGGACAGAAGACAAAGTACAATGATGGGTTCTTCGAGAAGGCTTTCATGACTCTATTCGCTCGGAAGATGGAGAAATTTGGGAAAGGTGGGAAGAAGAAGGGTTGGTTTGATTATGACTATGAGAGCTTTGTGGATGTGTCCAAGGGAGTAATGCAAGGTAGGTCTCGTATGCAGCAACAAGAAGTGGTCCGAGAGGTGCTCATGTCTATGCTCCCACCTGGTGCTCCTGCTCAGGTACACACATCTATCATTCTCTTCTCTACTTTCATTTTTCCTTCTCATTCTTGATTGTGTGCCATAACACCAACCAAGCTAATTAATTATCTCTAATTTGCTCTGTTTTCAATTAATTATTCTCAAAAATACAACCAAACAGCCCTTAATTCTGAAATCTTAGTTTTGTTTCCAGGTAAAATATTTTCTTCTTTTTTCATGAAAAATATTTATTTTTATTTTTATTTTTCTGTCTTTGGTAAAGATTTAAGAAGACATTAAGGTCCAATAACATGTAAAATAATTTACTAAAATTTGATAAATAAGTTATTTTTGTTCGATTTTAATAATTTTTTCCTTGATAAAAATTTTACAACAACCAAACACCAAAATATACAGAAAAATATTTACCCTCAAATAAAAGGAGCTTAGAACTCACTTACAGTTCAAGAAAAAGGATATATATATATATATATATATATATATATATATATATACACATTATTTGATAAATTATAAATCTACCATTGTGTTTCTAGCTCAAATGGTATTAGTAGCTTTATTCTATTGTAAGAGATGTTTAATATTCAAGTCCCAATTAGAATATATATATACAGAAAATATTTTACCCTCAAATAATGTATATATATTTTACAACAACCAAACACCAAAATATACAGAAAATATTTACCCTCAAATAAAGGGAGCTTAGAACTCACTCACAGTTCAAGAAAAAGGGAAAATACATATATATATATATACATTATTTGATAAATTATAAATCTACCATTGTGTTTCTAGCTCAAATGGTATTAGTAGCTTTATTCTATTGTAAGAGAGGTTTAATATTCAAGTCCCAATTAGAATACAATAGGTGTGCGACTATTTTACCTGAAACAAAAAATTTTTAAAAAGGGGTATGGTGGAGGGTTTCAAACCTTCTTGACAAATAAAAATTATTAGGTAATCTAAAACTATGTGATCTCGAACAATTATAATAAGCGATACAACTATTTTAACATTGATTCGTTTTAGTTTTGTTTTGTTTCCCAAGTAGGAGTGAAAGGAACCACGTTAATTTTCACGTGCAGTTAAAAGATAGCTTTATTATTATTATTATTTTATTTTTACTTTTTTATAAAAGATGGCTTTATTATTATTATTTTATTTTTACTTTTTTTTATAAAATATAGCTTAATTGTTTATTATTGTTGCAGTTTAGAAAATTATTTCCACCAACAAGATGGGCTGCAGAGTTTAATGCTGCACTAACAGTGCCCTTCTTCCACTGGCTAGTTGGGCCTTCTGAGGTAAACATCCCACAACACTTCACCTATCTATTATCTTATACAATTGGATGGCTTTTAACTATTATTTAGTGCTTATTATACATTTCTTAGTCATGCTCTCTGCAATACAGATTGAGTTATATATATATATATATATATATATATATATATATGTAATGATATATTGATGCTTTAGTTATTGCAATTATGATTTACTAACTCATAGTGGGCGTCGAATAGGTAGTAGAAGTGGAGATAAATGGGGTGAAGCAAAAAAGTGGAGTACATATAAAGAAATGCAGGTAGATTTGGTAGTTATTTGTTTGAAACTTACTGTTTGAATAACCGTCTTCTAATGTTTTTCCATATTATCTATGGATGAGTTCTAAAATTGTGTTGTTCCTTCTTACTTTACTTGTAAAGAAAACGGAGGAAATTAAAGTAAAAGAAATGCAGTCTTAAAGTTCGTGTATGCATATACCATATATTTGGATGGTAAATAAGATTGTGTTCAAAATGAAATTGATAGTAAAGGAAAATCCGAGTTTGGCCAATTTTTTTCAATAAAGTACAGACGCTGATTTTCAATGTTGTCAATTTTCCCTGTCCAGGTATCTCGAAAACAGTGGGTGTGTGGGAATGTGTGTGAATATGTGCAAAATTCCTACTCAAGATTTCTTCACCAATGAATTTGGGCTACCGCTAACTATGATCCCAAGTATGTAATACCATTCTCTTGGATTTATGCCCACGAAATTTTGAAAAGTGGCACACACGTTATTTATACGTACATATATAATTATGTATCATTTTTTTTTGTGTCCATGTAAATTTGCAGATTTTGAAGATATGAGTTGTGAGATGGTGTACGGTCAAGTTCCACCACCATTCGAGGAGGATCCGGTGGCGAAACAGCCCTGTTTTGGAGATATTTGTAAGTTTCTTCAGCTTAATTAGATCAATAAGCAGTGGATGATTTCCTGATTTCTAACTGTATATTCATTGTTTACAGGTTCAATGGCAACTCCCAGCTCTAGTGCCTGCCCTAAACTCAATTAGACTCGTGGAAGCAGCTACAAGTGTTTAATGTAATACATGAAATCCCTCAATACCTGCTATACATTTATGCCCACTTATTTGTTACTGTACAACATGGTAATCAGTGATCTATATGCACATTCCAACAACTTCATAAGTTGGAGCATCAAAATTTTACCTTGCTTCAACAGATTCTATATTATGTCATGCGGTAAAAATACATAACACACTTCATTAAATATTTGTAAAACCCACAAACATTTATGATAGCAATTTATATATATATACACACACAGACAAGCCATATGAGCAGAGAGAACGCGAATACTGCACTAGACTCGTAAGTGGGGTGACTAAAATATTGGACAAATGAAGTTGAAGCAAAGTGTTAAGCTTCCTTGTCACTTTTTATGGTTATCATTTTTTGTCCCATTCTTATTCGTCAGTGAAATGTGACATTGCCTATTTGCCTCTATTTTTTTTTTTTTTTTCGACAGTGCCTCTATTATACGTCAGTGGCAAAAACATGAAAGATAATTAAAAATTTAGGAGTGAAAAGGAAACACTAACAGTTTCCAGTACTTAGGTTGCCATACTTCTAGAAAGATCTTGAAAATGGCAACTAAAGCTGTTTCAGAAACTATATGATTCGTAGCCGGCTCTGTCCACTTGCCTCACCACGGGTGGCAAAATATTGTGTCCGGTAAAGTATTCGTCCCACTTGTTCAGTTTAGAACGATTATAGGGTGATTATATAGTTTTTGAGGGAGGGGAAGCGAGGGAGGGCCAAGGGCCGGCCGCATGGTTATGGGACGGGATGGAGAAAGGACGGCACTCTCCCGGTTCAGCCCATTTATAGTAATAAATTATAATTTTATCTTTATATTCAATAATAGTATATATATATATATTAAGCATATTCTAGTTTATTCTATTCCAATCAATAAAATATTCTTTTGTACTCCTTCTGTCCCAATTTAAATATCACTTTTAAAAAGTAAGAATTTTAAGAGAACATGTGAAACATGTCTTGTCGAAAAGTTACTAATTTGCCCTTATATTCAAGTTTGAAATTTTAAACTTTAATGACATATATGGAAAGATGTAAAATATATTGTTTGAAAAAAGAAAATGGACAATTATTTTGGGACAGACCAAAAAAGAAAGTATGAAATTTTTTTTTTTGAAACAGATGAAGTAGCATTCTCATTTGAGAAATTCTGTGTATTATTTGGATGTTTTAACAATAATTTTAGTATTAAGTTTTAGTTGAGAAATTAAATCTTGTTTTTATCCACATAAAAAAAAATTATTATCATAATTAAAAATTTATTTTATTATTTATTTTCCTTAAATTCGTATTACAATTATCAAAATACTCTACAATATTCGCCCCCTCCCCGCCTCACCCATTTCTAGGGGTGGCAAAAATCCCTAACTCGGTGGGGAACCGCCCCGCCCCCGCCCCATTTAAAGCGGGTTTGGAGAACCGTTTACTTAAATGAGATGGGGATGAAGGTTAAAAAAAAAAAACCGGTCGGTTGCGAGGCGGGGGTGGGGGACTAAGATCCCCGCCCCAAGCCTACCCCCGCAACCGCCCCGTTTAACATGTTAAATTACTAATTTATTTATCTATGTTAATATAGTTACCAAATTAACCTTTACTATATATATATATAATGGAAACCCTACACTTCACTTCCATTTTGCTATTGAGGCGGCCGTGTAACTCTAAGCTCTCTCTCAAACCCATCATTGAATATATGTAAAAATGCATTTTCTTATCTTCTCTACTTACCCAGAAAAGGGGAAAAAAGCTTGTTTATTTCATTGCCTTCATTTCTTTCTATTCATATATATTTGGAATTGGATTGTTGAATGCAACCAATAGTTTTGTAACTTCCGAATCAGATTAATTGCATTCTCTGAACTTGCCCTTTAGTTATCCTGCACTCCACCATCTGGGCCTCTTGGAGGCACCTTTTGCTTGAAGCATACGTTTTGGAGAAAATTGGGATTGAGATCTTTGACTCTGTAATTGCTTTGAGCAGCTCCGCGATCTCTTCTCCAACACGATAGGTTTTGACTTTCTGATTCTTGTAGATTTTGTAGTTTGCAGTTGCACAGAGAGAGAGAGAGAAAGAGGGCAAGTTCAGAGCTGAGAACGAGAATATAGATGGAGGCGATTGGAGAGGCTGAAATATATGGGTTTTGACCTTTTGATTCTTGTAGTTTTGTAGTTTCAGTTGCAGATGGAGAGAGAGAGAGCGAGAGAGAGGGCAAGTTCAGATCTGAATGATTTGCCCTAATCGGTTATGGGGCGAGGACGGGGCAAGTGGGGATGGGGCAGGGGCGGTTATGGGGATTAGAGGGAAAAAATGAACCGGTTATGGGGCGGTTTTGGAGATACCAAAATTAAACGGGGGCGGGGATGGGGAATGCAAAACCCGCCCCAAACTGCCCCATTGCCATCCCTGCAAGTCACTCACAATTGTGAAGTATTATTATTATTATTATTTTACTAATATTATCAAAATATAATAGCCCATTTTTAAATTCCATCAAAATTTATTATTATATTCCGTTTGTATAATAGGAAATATGGAAAGAAAAGAAAATGCTAAATTTAGGAGAGAAAGGAAGAAAACAAAGGCCTGGATAAGTACGTTGTGTTTGGATAACATGAAACAAATGAAAAGAGGTGATTGTATTTTTTTTTTTTCCCACAAGAGGAGATTGTATTAGTTATGGAGAAAAATTGAAGAAAATGGGAGGATAATGTCAATCTCCCTTCATATTTGTATAACTGAGGGAAACAAGTTAAAGAACAGTAAAATTTCGTCAGTTTTATAAAAATAGTCAAAAGAGTATTTTAGGGGTATACTTTCCTTTTTTTTTTTCCTTTCTCCTCCTTAATGTTTTTTTATAATTTATTTTAAAAGAAATACAAGAAAATAATCTTCATTTTTATCTTTTTTTTTTCCTCGTTTCACCTCAATTCCAACAATTCAAAATAAATAAAGGAAATTATAATTAGTAACTCTTTTATCATGTTGTAAAAATAATTGAGGAAAAAAAGAAAAGATTTATTTATTTATAGAGAAATAACACAAATTCCCTTATCATTTTCTTTCAAATTTTTACTTAAAATTACTATTAAAAATAAAGAGAATAAACTTTTCTAGTTCCTTTCCGCGTTAATTTATTTTCTCTTGAACAAATAAATCTGCAAGAAGAGAGGGGGTTGTAACACAGAGAAAGACTCTGTCATCTTCAAACTTCCAGTCTTCACAATCCTCCGCCAATCAACTCACAGTCGTCGGTGAGCTGTTAATGTTATATATTATTAATTCAATCCCTCCCATGTCTTTCTCTCTCTAGAATTGCAGAAACTGAGAGAGATCTCAACCTTCAGATCTTCCAACACCCATGGCCTCTCTTCCTTTTCTCTCTCTCTGCTTCTTCGTCTTCCTCTCTCTCTCATCCTCTCCCACCTCTGCCGAGATCCGAGTCTCCGATATCCGCTCCGATGACCGGACCGTCATCCCCTTCGACGAGTTCGGATTCACACACCGAGGCCGTCTCGAGCTCCACGTCTCTCAGATCTCACTCTCCAACCCTAGCTCCGAACTCGACCTGTCCAAGGTCGGCTTCTTCCTCTGCACTCGAGACTCGTGGCTCCACGTGCTCCAACAGCTCGAAGAGAGAGACATCACGTGCGCCCTCGGATCCGAACTCATCAAGAATGTCTACACCTTCAATTCCCTCAACGAAGCCAAGAGTTTCGATACCCTGTACAATGAAACCGACGCCGATCGCTACACCCTAGTCTTCGCCAATTGTGTTCTACAGCTTAAGGTCTCCATGAACGTTCGATCGGCCATGTATAATCTCGAAGGGAAGAACGGTGGTCGCGACTATTTATCGGCCGGAATGACGGTTCTGCCCCGGATTTACTTCCTGTTTTCGTTGACATACTTCACCCTAGCAGGTGTTTGGATATATTTTATTTATAAGAAGTTATTGACTGTGTTTAGAATTCATTTCTTTATGCTCGCCGTTTTGGCCTTGAAAGCACTGAACCTTCTCTGTGAAGCTGAGGATAAATCGTACATTAAGCGAACAGGTAGTGCGCATGGTTGGGATGTGTTGTTCTATATATTTAGTTTCTTGAAAGGAATTACTTTGTTCACATTGATTGTGTTGATTGGGACTGGTTGGTCATTCTTGAAACCCTACCTTCAAGATAAGGAAAAGAAGGTTTTGATGATTGTGATTCCACTTCAGGTGGTTGCCAATATAGCTCAGGTTGTTACAGATGAAACGGGGCCGTTTGGGCAGGATTGGGTGACATGGAAGCAGGTGTTCTTGCTGGTTGATGTTGTGTGTTGCTGTGCTGTTCTGTTCCCAATTGTGTGGTCTATTAAGAATTTGAGGGAGGCGGCACGGACAGACGGGAAAGCGGCTGTGAATTTGATGAAATTGACACTGTTCCGGCATTATTATATTGTGGTGATCTGCTACATTTACTTTACGCGTGTTGTGGTGTATGCATTGGAGACTATTACCTCTTACAGGTACCTTTGGACCAGTGTGGTGGCTGGGGAATTAGCGACACTTGCTTTCTATGCTTTCACCGGTTATAAGTTCAGGCCCGAGGCGCACAATCCGTATTTTGTGATTGATGATGAAGAGGAGGAAGCTGCAGCTGAAGCATTGAAACTCGAGGACGAATTTGAGTTGTGATTTAACTTCCAAGAATCCTGGAGGAGGTGATCATATTGGGAAAGTTGAGGTAGAAGCCAAAACTTTAGCATGAGTTGTTCTGTAACTTTGACCATTATCTTTCTCATTATGTATTGTTGATTTTCTGTGCATGTTGTACTTGAGCCAACGGTATAATTTCATTGCTCTTTATATGTGTCCACAATACAACTAGTTCTATTATCGGTAGGGAGTCTTTTGAATAACTTTGGACAATAACTGCATTTTAATTTTGATGTCAGAGGATGAAGCACCTAGAAACTTGTTCTCTGGCTCTCATTTTAAGCTGCAAATGCATGTTTTAATAGCACATTCAATGCTGTGGTTTTCAGATTGACCTGCATCAAATGCTCTTAAGTGAATAACAAGGGATGATGATGATATCTCTTTCATTTACAAGCGAAATTGAAAGCTGAGCAAAGTTAATTTTACACGTTCGGTATAAGTAGTTTGGAATTTTAAAACTAGAAGTGATCTTTGAATTGTTGTCATATTATTACTGATAATATTAGTCTTTTATGCACCTAATGCTCTGAGGAGTAAACCTGTATAACTAATACTTGAGATGGTATTCTTTTCTCTGTCTTTGAGGCAAAATCTAGGGAGAAGGTGTATAGCATAAGCTTCACAAGCCTCTAATAACAATAATCTACAATCCCAATTTAGATTTTACGTACCGTGGTTCTGCTGATAGGTGAGCGTTTTTTACATTTTAAAGCGGAGCTTGATACTTGAAAGTATTCAAACATTACCAATCGGACTTTGAAGGGTAGTTGGGGCCTCATGAATTAGTCACTCAAATTGTCAAACACGTGGCTTATTTGTTGGTTTGTGAAAGTGCATTATAGCATAATAATTAATTATCATCAAGCATTCATGGTCAAATGCTATGAAACATGGTAATTGAATTTGTCAACTTGCCTAGTTGACCTTCTGGATAATATGTACCTTCTATCTAGTGCTATGGGTTTTTTTATTCCAAGTTATAATTCATTCTGCATGTTAAGTATAAAGTGAGACCAATTTTTTATAAGTTTTCGGGGAGTAATGAAATTGGGAAATTTAGTTAAATATTTGGTGATTGCTAGTATTAAACAATTTGCAAATGCTATTTTTTTGTCCAAAAAGAGCATTGGACATCCTTGATTGGAATTCTTTAAAATTTTGAAGATATGCTCTTTTTAACCAGTGTCCCAAATCATTGTCTCACTCGAAAAACAACCAAAAATTTAACTTTTTCTTACTTTCCAAGCGTGTCACACAACCAAATTTGGAAACGAAGAGGATCAGATTAGGTAGTTGATGGTGAGTGTAGAACTTTTGTCAGCTTCCTTTGAACATGAATCTTGAGAATATATTATGCTAGCATAATATTGAATTTAACCAGTGTATTATTTGAGAATGCCTTTTTGTCTGTTTAAACTTTGAAGCTAGGTTATTTAGTGCCCTGAAGGCTAATGATACTCCATTCAAAATGCAAGGCATAAGAAGTGGTCAATTCCTGTTTTAAAGAATTTATAGTTTCTTGACTCTTCTCTTCAAGTTCTTTTCTATTACTGCACTTTCTTTAGTTAATTATAAGAGCTTGAAAAAGTAGGAGGGCATATGCTTGCTATTGTATTTTACTTTATTTTCATTTTGTGAAGTCTTTTAACAGTTCCTCACACTTCCATGGATTTATAACTAGTCCTCTTCAATGTATGTGAAGATGTCATTTAGAGGGTAAGATCACATATATTTTATTCTCATTTCAAAAATCTTCTCTAGTTAAGAGCTAGCTCACAAATTTAACATAGCTGAACCTAGAACCCATGCACCCTTGTTACCTGTTTTTTCATATCATAGCAATAAATGTGTGTAGAGCAGTGATCCTAATTTGAGATGGAGATATGCTTTTAGCGGGTTGCATGAATGTTTTGTACTGATGTCTTGCTTGTTGAAGTAAATTTCTTTTTCATTAATTATTTCTTTACTTGATGCCTTGCATGGTTAAACTCAATGAGCATGGTTACTTTAGAATTTTAATATCAAAGCAATGCATAATTAATCTCTCTCTCTCTCTCTCCTTCTTCTTGTGTGTGTAATCCATTTGGATATTTTGTTTTGAGGTGACTGGTTTTGCCAGTGAATGGAAATTGTTGATAAATGTTTACCAGTTTGGGATGGTTTCAGTACATAATATTGACATGGTTTAGCTTTATCCAAGATCAGTATAACAATTAGTCCACAGTTTCACCTTCGCCATTTAGCTTTTCAGATTGTTATTGGGTACAAAATTTGTAAAGTTGAATGTATCAATTCTTGAAGAAGATGCAGAATGGGGGTCTTCCACTGCTAAAAGAAATTTCAAACTGCCTTCCTGTGAGTAGTCTAAGCCTGCTGTGCAGATGTTTTCATTCTTTATTCTCTAGGTACTTTTTTCTGACTATAATTGGAAGTTCATGTATATTTTTTCTGTTAGTCCCATTGTGATTTTATCAGTCCATCAATCTGATATATGTGTTTGACTCCACTATCACTGCGTGGCTGTGTTTCTGCTTAAAATGAGAAGTAATATTAATCAATTATCTGGTTAATCTCATTATCAGTTAAGATGATGTTTCCAGATCTGGCGTTTATGTTACATGTTGCTGTCGATTTGTTGGTTTGTCGTTTCAACTTACAAGGTTGCTTCAAGGCATGTCAAATAGGTAATGTCTTAAATCTTAATATGGTCAACGCTATGGACGTTTTTTGTTTTTGTTAACTATTGCCCGTCTGTTTGCGTGTTTAAAACTAAACTCTCTCTCTTAAAGTGTTTTCTAGGTAAGGATGAATTTCACTACTTTAGACGGGAGACTACGATGGATATGGCAAAACTCGTATGGCTGTACTATTTTAACAATATCTCATAATAGTACCTTTACTAAAATTCGAGTAAAATTCGAGTTAGCATCGAAGAAAAATCTAACTTATACAAAAATGATACTTTAGCCTTGGACTTCAACCTAGGTGCAAGTGGGCTTTGAGGAGGAGGAGGACTTGTACTGAAGCCCTCGGGTTATTTGAGAATCGAATTCAAAACCATATATTCTTAGCTGGACTTCAAGGTAGATGCAAGTGGTTCTGCTGGTGAAGTCCTCGGAATATACAGGACGGTCCTCTTATAAAACAGCTAGTTTAATAATCGAATTCAAGCCATAATGTCTCTCTCTTCATTATCCTCAAATTTCACACACATTATCTGATGTGAATTTGTAGATAGAAATCACCTAGAATTTAGTCATATAAGTCACAAATTTCATCTGTGGAATGGAAATGACCCACATAGGGAACCACACCATCTGGCAATCTCCTGGTAGCATTTGTCTTCATACACACTCTCATAGCTGTTCATTAAAATTATGTTCCTAATGTACACCACAGACGATGCTCACACATACAATTAAGGGCGATAATCTTTTGTTTAATGCTTAAATAGGCTTTACTCTAATGAAAATTCTAGTACTAGTTCAGAGTAGCATATTTCAGTATTCTCTCATTAGACACCTCAAAACCTACCCAATTAATTCCATAATGACAAATATGTAATATTTGGCGTCTAATCTTCAGTGTTCTCGTGACACCTTTCAAATTGTACTAAAATTGGATTGTGATAAGTTTGAGCTCATCCCCCTTAGAATATTTGTATGTAATGATTACTGTTTTTATAAAGATGTTGCTGCATGTATATATATATAGAGAGAGAGAGAGGAGTATCTCATAAACGCACAAACACATTCTTTTGGTGCGTAATCCAAAGGGCACTGATTGATATTAATACAGGTGGTCCACACGTTGGTTGTTGAGTTGTAGAATTAATTGCTTGCTTGTCCAGGATATACCAAGTAAGCTGCCACTGCCACATTCATATCATTGATTATTCATATTTCTTTGACAACAAGACACACACTCTCCCACTCTCAAATTGCCCTACTTTCATTGGTCAATTGGTTGGTCGACATGCGTTTATATGATTGCTGCACTAGTTAACCCTTTGTTAACCAGGGGAAAAGAAAAAAAGAAAAAAAAATTTGTTATCCTTCTTTTATTTTATTTTATTTTATTTGGACAATTTTTGTTTAAAACCAAATTATCTTCGAAGGCCATGCTGTCTAGAAAAATTAGCAATTCTTTTACACAACCAGCTTGTGGACAGTCAGTATTATTCATGTAGCCAATCTCACTAACATGGGATGGAGGCAAGAATGATGATAATAAGATAATTGAGGAAATAAAAATTATAGCAAATTTTTAAAAATTAATGTTATTTTGGCATCGAATCAGTGCCTTGAATTTAAAATTGAAAGAAGTTTAATTCAAAATTTATATTTACAAATCGAGGCATTGATTTGGTGTTCCCTAACATAACATATATGTTGTTTAAATGATATTTTCTTCTATCTCGGTAAATAAATGCCTGTTATTTGTCAAAACAGGCAAAAGGGGTCTTTTCAGAAAGCATTGCATGTTATATTTGTCAAAATCACGCAAAAGGGACCTTTCAAAAACGCTTGTGATAGATGGCATTATGCTCTTTGTAGCTGGTGTGTCACTTATTTTAATTTCATTTTCCTCATAGGAATCTGATTTATGATCTGCACTCCGTGGCCAAAGCCAAAGGAATAAGTTAATGGGAGATGAAGAAGATGTGTGTGTTTTTGACTTAGAAGTTAAAAGAGAACATGTGACCTCTATGTTCTTACGAGTATCTCCCCACTTGCATGTGTTAGCAAGCACATGCCACTTTCCCATAAAGCCTTAATTAGAAGAAGACACCACATGAAGGTGGTCTTTTTGGTAAAAATATCTTAAACCAATTAACCACTGGCTAGCTACTAATTTTAGAGCTCACGCCAACTGCCTTTCACTTTGGGACTGTCCTATAGTGTAATAGGTGTGGTCCCACTCTAGTGGTCCAACCTACCTCACTTGGCTGGCTTTGATCAACTCCGTGGTTCATGTGCAATTTCATCATAACCATGCGTGCGCATCACCCTTAGGTGGATGAGCATTACCCTTATCTTTCAAAAAATCTTCTATATTTAAAATGAATTGGCACTCTAATGACATGTAGGGCTATCTAGTAGTTGCAGGATTGGGCTATTTTGTACTATCAATTATTACGTGATTCAAGATGATATGATTTTGGTTACTTATAATTCAATACACAATTATTTATAGTAATACATTTTGTATAGTTATAGATTTCTTTCTGAATGTTCCTAGGAATTTATGTAATAGTGGTATGGTATAGTAGCACATGACTCATGTATACAAAATATACGAGAAAGAGGATGCCAAGAATAAGGTAACAATATATATGTATATAAATGTATATATAGATATATATTGTCGGAGTGTGCTAAAAAGTACAAATTGTTCGATATATTTATCCATTTCATATTACTCCCTCCATTTCATATTAGTAGTCCATTATTCTCTTTTTACATGTTTTAAATTAATTATCCTTTCTAAAAAGTCAAAGCAAATAAATTCTATATTTCCATTATTGTCTTTTATCTTTTAAAAAAATTTCAAACTTTGTAACTATATATATTTAAATTAGAAGGGACAAATTGATAATTTTAAAAGGGAACAATGCATTAAATGCATGTCTTCTTAAAAACTCCAATTTCTAAACATGAATTTCATGAGACTAGGAATACTATACTAGTGGCTATAGCAGAATTATACCCCAAAGGTCTTCTAGGCTCTTAAAATTCCCTTTCTCCTTTCTCCTTTCTCCTTTCTCCTTTCTCTGTCTTCTCTAGACTAAAATTGAAAATGATTTCCAAATGTACTTTCAGATGGGTGAGGTGGTTCTGGAATTAATTGTTACTCTTTACTGGGAAAAATTCGTCTCTCATCTTCCAGTCCATATGAAGAAAAAAACTCATGATTTGACATTTTGTAGTAGAGAAGTTAATGATGAAAGCAACAAGGGCCTATTTAGACCATCTGTAATTGATGAAGTCATCAATGTCTAGTGACAGAGTCCGTGAACCTTTTTGCCACAATTTATTTGGATCACAAGTATTAGGGAGTCTCCATATGATTTTGTAACTCCATTACATCACAGTAACCCTGTAAACAATATATATATATATTAACCAGGCTTCAGTTTTTTGGATGTAAAATATTGGGTAAATTAAACTTACACCATCTGAGTTTGAGTCAATGTCATTTAGTAAGACTAGTTTGCATTCACACTTTCTAAAATTTTAAAAGTCATATTTACTCTTGAATTTGTTAATTGACAAAAATAACCCTAATCAATATTATGTATTCTCCTCTCACCCACCACTGCTATATCCATATACCGCTGCAACTGCCGCACACCACCACAACCGTCGCACATCGCCACACACACCGCATCTGGCTCAAACCCACACACTCTACCACAACCATTGCCATACCCACACACCCATACACTGCCCGAGCAAGTTGTTGGACCACATAGCCCGATCTTAACCCTACCCACGCGAAATTACCGGTGGCGAAGAGAGGATATGTGTTCGCCGCTACAATTGTCAAAACTGTTGGCATTATCGAGCAAATCTTTGTTTGCCACTGCAATCGTCGATCATGCCTCTAATTCGTAGAGGGCTTTTGCCTCTAATCCGTGAGCGATGGTGGTGATGGTTCTGATTGTCGGTGGTGACGACGGTGGTGGATTTCTCTTATTCGCTAGTGGTGGTGGCTTTTGCCTCTGATCTCGTTGCTTTTGATCGACGACAGTGGTGGTGGTTGCTTCTGATTGTTGGTGGCGACGACAGTGGGTGGGTTTCTCATGAAGGGGGCGATGATGGTGATGGGTGGTGTTAGGATAGAGAGTATATGATAGAGGATAGAGATAAAGATAGAGAGGGTATATGTTGTGGGTATCGAGTGGAGTATGTAAGAGACACATAAGGTATGGTGGGTTAGAGAGAGAATGTAAAATGAATGGTATTTTGGTCATTTAAAATTTAGTTTACAGGGTTATATTAGTAATTTATCAATTTATGTATTTGTTGACCAAGTCAAATGTTAAAATGGTCATTTTCTTCAGGTCCTTAGAGCATCTGCACCAGCCTCTCCGAATTTTGGCTCTCTAAAAACTCCACATCAGCTTTTTCAAGAGCCATATCAGCAATTCCAAGAGCCACGTCAACAGTTTTCGCTCTCCAAAAACATGCACTCCATCAGGCTCTCCGAATTTTCGCTCTCCAAAAAAAATAATAATAAAAAATTAAAATTATTATTATTTTTTTAACTTTTCCTAAACGGCTGTATTTTTAAAAATTAAATTTTTAACGGCTATATTTGTAACGGCTATATTTGCAACGGCTATATTTTCTTAACGGCAATATTTTTCACTCAAACAATATTTTTAGAAATTATTAAAAAAACTACGATTGATATTAGAACTTGAAACAATACATTATCCATTATGGATTAAAAAAAAAAAATTAAACAACACAATTAAAAATAACTTGAACAATACAATTTCCTAAATTGGAATAAGAAAATTAATAGACCAAGGATTACAAAATCCTATCGGAACTTTGGGGCGGACCGTGAATTCAAAGATGCCAATATCTCATTTTGTCGTGCAATAATCCAAATTTTTCCCGCTTCTGTTGGTGCCGAATTTGGTTCTGTTAACATGAGTTCCTTCTTTTCAAGTCTCTATTTCTCTAGAATCTCTAACTGCCTTGTTTTCTCTTTTTCCATTTTTCTTATCTCTCGTGCCACTTGGGCATCCTGCAATTTCTCCTGACGACTCTCAAAACGGGTGGTGATATTATTAAATTTCGAAACGAATGAAGTTTGCAATTCATTCGTTGAATTAATTTTTGCTCGACGTTGTTTCACCGCTTTTCTTCCTGCTGGTCTTTGTAGTTGATATTATTCCACACTGGGTGAATCATTTTCCCCTATGTGTGGTGATTATTCAGTTGAAGCTCCATTTGTCGTGGCTGCATGATTTGACGGAGTAGATGGTAATGAATGCCCAATAGACTCATTACTATCAAACTCAAATCCACTCCTCTTCTTCGGCTCTTTTTTCTTTTTTCCTTTTCCTACTTGTTCGGCACAATGTGAATTCCATTTATTGTTATGCTTCAAGATCTCCTAGCAATTTTCTAACTTAAATTCACCACTTGTTTGGCTACGAAACAGGTCTTTAGCTGCTATCATTTACATGAAAAAATTAACAAAAAATTAAAAACTGACTATTTAAAATATTTACGAGTTATATTTAAATAATAAATAACTCACCATATTATCACTGCTGAAGCCGCTGGGACGATTCATTTCTATGGTAGTCATGCAGCCGGAAAATTTACTATTTTTTGTTGGATCACCGACCAACGATTCATCAAACCTCCATCATTTCGCTCAGTTGGAACACCAATATGTTGTTTAAATTGTTCTAGAATTCACTCCCATAGCTTCTTCTTACTTTGGTCTGCCCCCGTAATCGTATCAGAGGTAATGGACAACCACGCCCAACATAGAGCTTCATCTTCAGCCTTGGTCCAATTATTATGTCGGATAGCCGGTTGTTTTGATGGGGGTTTTGAGTTACTTGATTGTGGAACACTAGTACCACAATATTGATGAGAAGTTTGAGATGGTTAATAAGAAGGTTGGGATGGTTGATGAGAAGAAAATTGAGAATCTCCTCCATAATAATTGATATTCTCTTCAGGAAATGGCAAAAACTCATCGTTTGATGGGTTGAATTGGGTGTTGTAATAATATGGATGTCGAGGATTCATGGAATCAAAATGACTTTGAAAATAATAGCTAAGATTGTGAAAATAGAAGAAGAAATAAGTTGAATGGTAGATAATAGAGATATGATGAGTGATGGTAGGAGTTAAGGTATTTATAGAGATTTTAAAATTTTTAATTTTAATTTTTTTTTTTTTTTGAATAAAGTTAAAAAATTTGAATTTTTAAATTTTTTTTTTAAAATTATAGCCGTTAAGGCACTGTTTGGTACTGTATAAACAGTGCCTTAACGGCTAAATACACTATTTGGCCTACACATTTAAAATTTAAAACAAAAAATTTAAAAAAAAAAACCAAATTTTAAGGGAAAAAACAAAAAAAAAAAAAGAAGGTTTTTTAATTTATTTTTGGCCCAATTTTTTTTTTTTTTGGACAAACAATGCCTAAACAATATATTTTTTATTTAATGAATTTTATTTTATTTTTTCCCCAAAAAAAAAGCTCTAAATAACCTATTTTTAGGTTTTTTTTTTAAAAAAATATATGTACTCTACCGTACTCTGCCGTTGCAAGAAAAGACAAAAAACAGAGGCACTGTTTGGCTACTGTATATAGTCGTTGCAAGAAGACCCAAAGAGGCAGTGAAATGGCGTCGTTTTCTGACCATAAAAAACAAAAAAAAAAATACCACGATCGCGGGCCGGCTCGCGAGCAAAATTGGGCTCACACGTTTTAGCTAGGGTGCTGTGCGCCCATTTGGCCTTTGGCTCGCGGAAATTGGGCTTCCGCGAGCCCGCTGCGGATGCTCTTAGGGGGTGTCAATGTAAACTAGTATGTTGACAGTCCGCTGAGTAATGTTGACGCAAACTTCAGGGAGCGTGAGTGCAATGTACCCTAAAATATTTTATTTTGTGATGTTTAGTTATCCTAAAATATTTTGCAAGAAAAAAATATATTAAATTATTTTTAAAATAACTTACCTATCAATTTTTTACAAGTTATTTTACACGTCCCACTAGATAAACTCAGTTTCAACTTGAAACTAGACCTTTGACAAATACCCAAAAACAAAAAATAAAAATATTTTACTTAAAAAAAATATTTTCGGTTGAAACAAACTGAGCGTATGTTATAACTAAAATTTTCCGGTCTCCACTTATGAATAGTTTTATTTTCTACACTTTGAATGCTATTTTCAAAACATAACTACACAAATGGGAGACGATGTAGAACAGTAGAAGGTCACAGTATATAACATAACTGGTTGTGTAGACCACTCAAAAGATGACTTAGAGCAGCGGCAACTCCACCATTAACCATGGGTATTAATTAGATAGGGTGGGTCTACCGTCTACCCCGCAAAAGCAAAAGAGAGCCTCAAAGAAAAGTTTCTTCCAAAGGAAAAGGCAAAATACAGAAAGCAGAATAAAGAAAGATCCAAAACCAAATGGAGGAGATGATGATGATGATGAGAAGAAGCCCAGAAAATCTCTCTAGTGAGTCCATTTCCGATCAACCCATCATCACCACCTCCACTTGCCCAACCTGGAAGCTGTACGATAATCCATTTTATTATTCTCAACACCCACAATATGATCATTGTCACCACCACCAACAAGAAGAATTACTAGAACAAGATCACAAGTGTAGGAGCAACCATTTTCACTGTCTCCACCTCCCTATATCGGCACGTAAGATCGGTTTCAGGGCCTTTATGGACTCTGAGCTTGATTTGGCTCTAGCCCAGATCATTGAATTGAAGGAAGAGCTCGAATTCGAAAGGAAAGCTCGAAAAAAATTGGAGTCTGTGAACAAGAAGCTGAGCAGAGACCTCTGTGAGGAGAGAAGGGGAAGGCAAGCGTTGGAACGAGTGTGTGAAGAGCTTGCCAAAGAAATTTCATCTGACAAATCAGAGATTGATAGAATGAAGACAGAGATGGAGGAGGAGAGAAAGATGTCACGTGTGGCCGAGGTATTGAGGGAAGAGCGAGTTCAAATGAAGCTCACTGACGCGAAGCACATGCTGGAAGAGAAGCTGTTAGAATTGGAGGTGACTAAACAAAAGTCATCAATTTACAAAACGGAGTTGAAGAATCAAGAAGCTTATAGGCACCCAATTGGCATTGCTTCTGGAGAACCAAAAAGGTGTGTTTTGAGTGCCTGTAATTATGGTTATAACAATGCGTTTGTTCATTCAGTTTCAACACACAGAATAGCTTTACCAGAACCTGAGAATCCTCATATCAAGAGAGGGATCAAAGGGTTTGTTGAATTTCCCAAAGTGGTTCGAGCCATTGGATCTAAAAGTAGGCATTTGGGTACCAAATTGGAGTGTCAAAAAGCTCAGCTAAGGATACTACTCAAACAAAAGAGCCCCATTAGATCCAAAAATCTTTTAATGAGTTGAAAATATATGTTTTCTTGTTCACAATTTTTTTTTTCCTCTCTTTGCTTTCATTTTGAATTTGTTCTATATTATTCTATATGAATGTAAAGTTGATCTATTCCAGTACCCAAAAGATATCTTGAAAGATTGTAGTAAATACTTGCGTTTTTGAGAATGTAATTGTTGAGAGTGTGTTGTAATGTATAGCATATTGTGCTTTATGAATAATTTAATTACAAAAGCGTTCTCTTTGGATCTGAAATAAAGTTATGGTAAAGATGTGTTTGAACTTTTTTGAGTACTTTGGGTCATCTGCACATGTTCAACTTTCATTGCTAATGGTTGTGGATCATTATAAGGTCAATAAAAATTAAGAAAAACATAACTTATGAGAGAAGGGAAGTTTTAACAATGTGGACTGGTAGATGTATTTAATATTCAACTAGTCACTTCTCAACCATGAGGATAGGACCAGAGTATTGCAATTCCAACCCCAATCACTTTGAGTCTGAATTCTGCTGACTCTTTTTATCTGTTATTTTCTTTTTCGTGGAATTGAAATATATTTAACATTAGAAGGCAAGTTCTACAGGTGGAATTTATAGTTTTGTTTATTGGATCACATTAAATTTTCACCTTGTATATTTAATTGAAAGTATGGAATGTGTATCTGAGAAACCTTAAAGATAATTTTCTATTCGAATTGGAATTTCACACAAATACAAATGGAAAGAAAACTTAGAAATAGATCTCACTCATAACAAAAAATATTTTCCTCTAAAATATATATATATATATTTTTAGGTAAAATATATTTTTAATTTTTATATTTCTATATTTGACAAAGGTTTAAGTTGAGGTTGAGGTCGAATCCTAGTATATGTAAAATAATTTGTTGAAAATTAATGGATAAGTTATTTTTGTTATATTTTAATATTTTTTTTCTTCGTAAATACTTTACGACAACCAACCAGAAAACAAAAAAATATGTTCTGAATAATATTTTACATTCAAACAAACAGAATCTAAGAGATTGTACACCCATCCCCGTGTTGTGTGGTTAATTTTTACTCCATCTCTCCCAAAATTCTTGAATATCTTTGGAACTCCATTCTTTTAAGATGAACTTATTTACTTTCTTATATTAAGATATAAGAGTTTTTTTTTTCCGAAAAGTATTTTCTTCATAATTCCAAAAAGAAAAAAAGCAAAAGAAAAAGAACACTCATTTTCTTAAAAGAAGACTCATTTTCTTACTTTTAAGATATAATGCTATGTTTGGTGTACAGGAATCAACTATAATGCAAGTGGGAATAGAATAGTCATTCTCATTCTATTATTTCATTATAAATATGAAATGTATAAGAATGGAATGGTAATAACCATTTTAGTGTTTGATTGGACCAATTTCGAATTTAGAATGGAATAAATTTCAAATTGAGTTCTCCAAAATATTCCCATTAGTAACAAAATTAAATTAATAAAATGAAATTCTTTTATAATTTTTTAAAAATAAATCGTGGTAATGGTGGTGGTGGATGGTGGTGACGATGGTGGTGGGGTGGAAAGTGGTAGTGGAAAGTGGTGGTGGTGAAAGGCGGCAGTGGTGGAAGGTGGTGGCAGTAGTGTGGTGGTGGTGGTGGAAAGAGATAGTGGTGTAGGTGGTGGTGGTGGAAGCCAATGGAGGTGACTATGGTGGTGGTGCAAGGTAGTGGAGATGGTAGTGGTGGAAAGAGATAGTGATTTAGGTGGCGATGGCGGAAACCAATGGAGATGACTATGGTGGTGGTGCAAGGTAATGGAGGTAGTGGTGGTGCAAGGTAATGGAGGTAGCGGTGGTGGAAGCCAATGGAGGTGACTGTGGTGGTTGTACAAGGCAATGGAGGTGGCAATGGTGGAAAGCGGTAACGGTGGTAGGGATGAAAGGTGGTGGAAGGCGATGGCAGCGGTGATGGTGGAAGACTATTGCAGTGGTGGTGGTGGAAGGCGGTAACAGTGTGGCGATGGCGGTGAAAACAATGACGGTGGTGGAAGGCGATGGCGGTGGTAGTGGTGGTGGTGGTGGTGGTGGTCAGCAGCGGCGACAGTGTATGGTAATGGCGGTGGAAGGCAATGGTGGTAAAATGCGGTGGTTATGGTGAAAAGCGGTAGCGTTGTGGTTGTGGAAGGTGGTGAAAGGTGATGGCGATGATGGTGGTGAAAGGTGGTGGCGGTGGTAACAAAAGAATAAGGTGTCGGTGGTAAAAGGTGATGACTGTAATACCCCTAAAATTAAAAAGGATAAAATTAGAATTTAAATTTCATTCTATGTGCATTTTTGTCTATTGATTTTGTAATTGTTGTATTTTGTTTGTTTTATTTAATTATTTGTAAATTGTTACTTGTGTATTTGTATTTCCTTATTTGGTTAATTATTTTCTTTATTTGAATTATGGTTTGTTTAGTTATCTGAGTTATTGTATTGTTTGTTTTATTTTAAATTATATTTTAAATGCCTTATTTGGTTAATTATTTAATTGTCTTTAATAAGTGCTTAAGTAGAAGTTGAATTAACAGTTTTCAGTTAAGGTTTCTTGGAGCCGTCATACAAGTATTTAACGTGTATGTGACTTAAGTTTATGGGCCGACTCTAGTTTAATTAGGGTCCTGCCTTAGCTCTAGTTTAATTAGGATTTTCTAAAGGCCTATATATATACGTGTATGAGTTTCACTAAGGGTTTTGGAAGAACCCTATTCACGGCACAGTAAAAATAGAACGTAACAGAGAGAGAGTTGAGAGAACAGAGGCAATTGTAAGAGCTACCAAGGACAAGAACATAGAGGGTCAAATGAGGGTTGTGGTGGATTAGATCACACCCATAGGAGGCTTGAAGGAAGTTAGTAGTTGCCGGAATCTTAGAGACGACGCCGGGATTTCATAACTGAAATCACAGGCAAGTTCTTCTCTTTCTCCTTCTCTTTGGCTCGTGTTCTGTGCACCTAGATGATCTCTTGGGTTTAATCAATCAATAACTGGAAGTTATATGTTTAATATATGTTATATGAATGATCTGTTTGCCGTAAATTCAAATCTGTTTACAGTTCATGTATGGTTGCTCCCAGTTTTGTTCTTAAAAGCATATTAAGTTCTGTTGTAAAGTTTGTTACCGTACTTGCTTCCATCTTCTATAAACGAACCATGGGGATGTTAATGGGGTGATAGAAGACCTTAGGTTCAGTATTATTGAGGAACAAAGGGGTTGGAATGGAGCTGTGGTTGCAAAATAGTTTCAGTGTTGTCCCTAAAGCATGTCTAGTTCGGTAGCAAATTTGATCTATGTAATTGATTTAAATGGTTAAAATCAAACCTTTGGGATGCTAGTGGATATTAATCAGACCCTTAGGATCAGTTTTTGAAACCAACTGAAGGGCAAAAACATGCCGGAGAAGAAGCAGAAAGTTAGAACGGAGCAGAACGGGGACAGAGGCTCTCAAAGGAGGTGAGAGCCGGCTCCATGGATGTGGGAGCCGGCTCCCATACTCATTGAGCTGGATCTAAATTCTATAGAGCCGGCTCCAGGCTAAAAAAGAGCCTGCTCTTGGAATTTAGAGCAGGCTCTTTCAAATAGTGGTTTTCTGAATTTTTTTTTTACGATCTGTTTGCAACTGTTGGAGCATGGGAACTGTTTGGATGGGTCTGGGTCTACACAGAGGTATTAAGAAATTTATTTTGGGTGTAATTAAGACCTTAAGTTGATTAATGTTGACCTCTAAGTCAATGGGACAAACAGTGTAAAATTAAGGAATTTTCTACGCTGTTAACGGATGGAAGAGAAATAAATTGCTTCATTAAATTTCAGCAATTGTTATGGGATTTAGTAAATTATTAAAACTTATTTTATATGCACAGTGAAGTATTTTAATTAACCAATTGGACTTGTGGCATAGTGTATGGCTCTGTACTAAAAGATGAAACAGAATACGAGTATACAACTTAGTACGCTGTCATCGGACGAAATGAACTAAATTGCCTAGATTAGTTTAGGAATTGATTGGACTATAATATGATTATAAAACTTAATTCTAATGTATGATAGAGTCATTGATATATTAGATGTGATCTACGCATGCTTTGGATGCTAGTTGTTGAACCTTTAAACCGTTTCCTGCAAATACATGGTTCAACTCTTGGATTTAAATTGCTGAAACTATAAATAGTCTCCTGCAAGTATTTGGGATGGTTCTGGATTATAAATTGCTAAACTGTTAATTATGTGTTGTAATTTACATGGGTTGGATGTTAATTGTGGAATCTTATATATTATTCTACAGTTAATTGGATTATGGTTTTGAACTGTAATTGTTGTGGCATTGTATAAACTATTCTGCAATGATATGGATAATTGGTTTTGGACTGTAAATTACTTGCTTATTATTTATATGCTATAATTTACATGGATATGGAGGATAGTATGCACCGGTATGGGATGGTGACATACTAGGTATGGTTTAACTCAAAACGCTCATTCCTACCTTATGGATTTTAATTGGTGAACAGTTTTACCTGTTCAATCAATTATATGGATTTTGTGGATTGTATGCACCGGTATGGGACAGTGGCATATTAGGGACAGACTGATTCAAAATAACTCAGTCCTACCTATTTTGGATTAAGGGTTCGAATTATAAAAACATAATTCTCCTTATATTTAAGTCTGTGCAGCTGAATAAGCTGAACGACTTATCGAATTTCCTATGGATGGATATGAATGGATTTTAAATATATGTTTATGGTACCACGAGATGAGCTTGAGTCTCAGTCTCATTGGTTAGGGTGGGTATATGCAGTGGATGCGTAGCTGGCTATAGTAGGTTGAGGTGTACCCTGTTATGTCTAGGTATTCATGCCCACCTTTGGGTGCGTTTTCTCATGTTGCCTTCTATTCAGATTGAAACCCCTACTGTAGACCAGTGAATGTCCCTTAGAGTGGATATATCTATATGTATGGACTAGATAGCTATTGTTGAGATATTTAGGGTGTATCTGCGTATCGAGTCACTGTTTGGATTGTAGTTAGAGAAGAATTTGCATGTGGGCCTGACCCACTCTTATTTTTACAGGTATTCGTTAGTTCCAGACTTAGAGCTGGATCGTGCTGAGCAGATACAGTCTTCACTCCACCGATGACCAAGATTTTATTTCATATTTTAGACTTGGGTCTCATTTCCAATCTTTTGAGTTCAGTGAGATATTTTAGGGGTCCGCTAGATAGATTCCCGAGTTGTA